GGCTCTGCCACTCAGGGAAGCTTCCAACCTCCTGTCTTCCTTTGACCAAAGCAGCTGGCCTGAGCCTCCATGACATACACCTGCACTGTCCCCATCCTGATTCAGGGCACCTCAGTAACTCATAAGCCCTTGCTGAGAACGTCTGTCTTTCTTGCTGTGTCTTAACCCCAGGGACTGGTGATGCGCTTCCTCCTGTTTCACAGGTGGAGATGGGCAGACCTCCCTGGGACTGGTGGTGCGCTTCCTCCTGTTTCACAGGTGGAGGTGGGCAGACCGCCCAGGGACTGGTGATGCGCTTCCTCCTGTTTCACAGGTGGAGATGGGCAGATCTCCCAGGGACTGGTGGTGCGCTTCCTCCTGTTTCACAGGTGGAGATGGGCAGACCTCCCAGAGGTTGCCCAGGTAGAGCACAGCAGGCTGCTTGTGAGTACTGGGTACCCATCCTTGTTGAGCTGAAGTTCACATGGCCCAAAGACGTGACTCTTGGAACATTGACAGTGTGGTACAGCAGCACTCTATCCATTCCAGCGTATTCCCTTCCCAGCCCAAGGAAAACGCTGCAGCTCTTAACACTTAACTTCCAGTCCCTTCCCAGCCCTGCAGCCACTAGCCTGCCTCTGTGTGCGTATGTGTGTGTTCTGGGCATTTAGGCTGTGCGGCATTGTGTTAGTTCATTGGGGCTCATCAAGGCTGTAGCATTTGGCAGTGTACCAATCCCTCCTATGGCAGAGTAATGGCCCATCAGGTGATGGGCCTCTGTTTGTCCCCATTCCTCTGTTGAGGAATGCTTGGGTTGTTCCTACCTTTGAGGAAATATGAAGTGTGCTGCCGGATGGTGGCAGTGGCAGGTGCACTTGATGAAGGCTCAGGCCAGCTGCAAAGAAAATGAACAAGCGTGAGCCTGTGTTTTGTGAGTCCCTATACTCCCTTGGGCATGGCCCTGGGAGCGGCATCCTGGGCCCTGTGGTGAGCTGTGTTTGGTGCTGATGAAGTCATCTTTTGTATCGCTTTTCTGCAGTCCCTTGCCTTTTGCACCCTTGCTAGTGTGACCCCACAGTGGGTAGTTAACTTATTACTGGATGGCCAGAAAGCAAGATGGGTCACTGAAGTTGCTGCCCCAGCTGCCCCAGCCCCAGCTGTCTCTCCTCGTCTTCATCTCATGTTTCTCCTGCTGGTCCTTCCTGCTTAACCCACGAGAGCTTGCTTCTTTGGCCACAAGCCCCATCGCTTTCACCTAAAAGGCCAGCGCATCTATTTTGGAAGGAGGATCAGAAAGTGCAAGCCAGGTGATGACGATCGACCGTCTCCCCAGGCCCTGCCACCATCTCTGATCCATCAACCCCAGACTGGAGTCGGCGTCAGCAGTGATTGTTCCTTGTCAGCAGAAGCTCCTTTGGATACAACCCTGACTGGTTTCCCCCCACTCTTTGCCTCCTGTTCTTTTCTCTCCCAGTCCGTGCTTGAATCCTTGAGCTGTTGATTACAAGTGGTAGTGTACAACAATTGCAATTTTGTAAATAGCAGCTTAGTTTCATTAAAGCCTCCACATGTAAAAGCTGTTTACATCCACCCTCTGAAAGCCTCACACCCATCCTCAAAAATGTAAATTACAAGCTGTGGAGATAATATGGGTCTCATACAGCACAGCCGGGGGATGGTCCTTCTTTCTCAGGATGGCACCTAACACTTAAGCACCCTAATGGGCACCTCACGTGTCTTCCAAAGCAGGCTGCTACGCCCGAGTTAGAAAACAGATGATTTTCATAACTATCTAACTACCACTTAATGCAAAGGTGGACTCTCCAGGGACATAGATCATCAGATGCTCAGCTTGACTGAAGATACCTGATTCCCCTTGGAGTTACCTAAGGGTTTGTGAGAGACACTACAGTTTCTATAACATAGATTGGTTATCTTTTTTTGGTGTGTGTGTGTGTGTGTGTGTGTGTGTGTGTGTGTGTGCGTGTGCGTGCATGTGTGTTATATGTGTGCATGCATATGTGATTGTGTGGGAAGACATGGAGCCCAGAGGTTGTTCTCAGATGTCTTCCTCAGTCACCCCACCTTGTTTTTTTATTTTATTTATTTTATGTGTATGAGTGTTTTGCTTGCATGTATATAAGGCACCCATGTCCTTCAATGCCTGCAGAGGCAAGAAGAGAGCGTTGGATCCCCTGGAAGTGGAGTTACAGTCAGTTGTCAGCTGTCATGTGGGTGCTGGGAAGTGAACCTGGGTCCTCTGCAAGAGCTGAGACACCCATGTCCTTCAATGCCTGCAGAGGCCAGAAGAGAGCGTTGGATCCCCTGGAAGTGGAGTTACAGTCAGTTGTTAGCTGTCATGTGGGTGCTGGGATTTGAACGTGGGTCTTCTACAAGAACAGTCAGTGCTCTTAACTGCAGAGCCATCTCTCCAGCCCCAATAATTACAAATATTTAAAGAAGGAAATGGTGATAGAGGGTCAGCACTATGGCTCAATAGGTAAGAGCACTTGCAGCCCAAGCCTGGTGACCTGAATCCAATCTCCAGAACCCATGTAAAGGTTGAAGGAGAGAATCAGCTCCCAAGAGTTGTTCTCTGACTTCCACAAGAGACTGTGACATGCACACATATACCATTCGCACAAGCACACACTAATAACAATATTTTTCTAATTTAAAAGCTGTTTTTATGCCAGGCATGGTGGCGCACGCCTGTAATCCCAGCAGTTGGGAGGCAGAGGCAGGCGGATCTCTGTGAGTTCAAGGCCAGCCTGGTCTACATAGTTTCAGGACAGCTGGGCTACAGAGAGATCCTGTTTCAAAATTTATTTATTTATTTTTGAGACAGGATCTCTCACTGAACCCTGAGCTCTCCAATTGGCTAGGCTGACTGGCCAGCAGTCTCTGGGGGATCCATCTGTCTCTGCCTCCCCAATCCTGGGATTATATACACACAGGATCACATTGAGCTTTTCATGTGGGTGCGGGGAATCCTTAACTCAGATCCTCATGCTTGCATGGCAAACACTTTACACAGTGAACCCAGATATTCTTTTAAAAAATATTTTATTTTTATTTTATGTGTATGAGTGTACTGCCTGCATGCATGTAAGTGCACCTGTGTTGTACAATGCCCACGAAGGTCAGAAGAGAGTGCCAGATCCCCTGGAACTGGAGTTACAGATGGTTGTTAGCTGCCATGTGGGTGCTGAGAATCAAACCTGGTTCTTCTACAAGAGTGGCCAGTGTGCTTAACTGCTGAGCCATCTCTCTAGCCCTGAGCCCAGATATTCTAATTTTAAATCCTTGCCTTATATAGAGAAACTACCACCCTGCTGTGGGCTTGTTCTTGTTCTGGGCAGGTGGCTGGAGGAGATGGCGTGGAAGGCTCACTTGGGGTGGTCACATGTCCAAGTTGCCCACTGCACAATTGCGGGGATGCTGCTGAGGAGACGGACCCCGAGGTCACACACCTCAGAACTTTCCTGAGCTCCTGTTGCCAGCAGCTCCGTGCCCTGCTTTCTAGCCCAGTGTCTACTTCAAACAGATGCCTGGTTCCTATGGGAAAATTTAAGATTTCTTTTTGAATGAACTACATAGTCATTCCCTATTAAAAGGCATTGGGGATGATATAATTATGGTGTGTTTTTACAGCTATTTCCAGTAGTAAAAAGAAGCATAAGGTTGCATCATGTTAACGATGCAAACCGACCCCAGAGCTATTATAGTAAGAGAAAGGATTGTGCCCATTGTTTCTCATCTTCCTTTTGCCACGCAGCCTCATTATATTGCCCAGGCTGGCCTTGAACTTCCAGGCTTAAGTGATCCTCTGTCTCACCTGCCTGAGTGCCAGGCCACAGATGTGCCACCATGCCTGTCTGAGCCCACTGTTCTCAGGGGCTCAGGAGGGTGCTTCCAGGCTCTCCCTGGGGAGGAAGGAGCCCTGTGTGTTATGTGCTAATTGAGGGGCCTCGGCCCTGAGGAGGAAGGAGCCCTGTGTGTTATGTGCTAATTGAGGGGCCTGGTGGCACCAACCTGGGTTTGTGTTCACAGCACCCAAGGACACAGGTCTTGGTATGCACGCAGGTGTGCAGATCAGGAGGGGAATCCAGGAACCCAAGACCATGAGGGCTGCTGGGAAAGAGGCTGTCCCGAAGGCAGCCAGGAAGGCTTCTGGAGGGGAGAAGCTTCATCACAGCCCCTGGGCGGGAGCCATGGCTAGAGGAGGTGGGGACCAGAACTGATGCATGAGGTCAGCAGGGGGACCAAGTAGCCAAGAGGCTCCTGGGACAGTGAGTCTTGTCTGGGACCTCAAAGGAGATCAACTTCAGGCCAGGGAACAAGAGGGTCATTCCTGGATGAGGCCCACGCAGGTAGTCCAGTGACTATGGGTGCTGTGGTGTGGCCGGAATCTGGCCTAGATGGGTAGGAAGCAGAGCACCATCTTTGGGTCAGGCAGCTGCATACTGGTGTCTGTACTATGGAACACAGGGTTGTGGCAGGCAGGAGCCAGTGAGGAGCCCCAAGGTCAGAAATGAGGGTTCCCATGTGGTAGGATGGCTGTGGCTGTGCCCTGAGGCTGCTGTAAGGAAAAGCCTGCAGCTCTGCGGCTCAGACAACAGGCGTTTCTCCTCTCGGCCTGGAAAGCTGGAGTTGCAGCCATCTGTGGGGAAGGAGATGCAGTTCAGTGTCCAGCTGTGGACATGGTGATGAAGTTCGGTGGCAGCGGCTTGTCTACCGTGCTGGGCTTTCTGCAAAACAGAAATGAAAAAGGAGCTTTCAAGGGAGGGGCCTGCCTGCCCCCCCCCCAGCTCTTGTTGCCACAGCCCTGTTTCCAACATGGCTGAGAATTACCTGTGCTCTGGGGAATTCCGTGTACCCTGTGTACTCTAGGGGACAGGTTTGGAATGAGATTGGGGCGACTTGCTCCTCACGCCACCTCTGCAGGTGGAATGCAGGGCCGAGGTATCCATCCAGGCATGGAGAGACAGCCCTGACACCTTTTCTTCCTGTTCCCACAGCCCAACATTGGCCACCTGGGTCTCCCCCACGGCCCATCTGGAGAGAAGGTGGCTGTGGTGACCGTGGACGACTGTGATGCAGCCGTGGCTGTGCACTTCGGAAGCTACGTTGGGAACTATAGCTGCGCTGCCCAGGGCACTCAGAGTGGCTCCAAGAAGTGAGCTTCCTGGAGGGGCACAGAGGGTTTCCACACCCACTCAGGGCCTGCTCTAAACATCAGGCACCTTTGGCAGACTGATGCAGGGTACCTTGGTATCTCTCCCCCGTCTCAGCTTGTATCCGACTCCCTCTCTGTGGCTAGGTACCATCTCACTGAGATCATAAAACATTCTAGAATAAGTCCACTTAGTAGCATCTGTCATGCCAGGTGTAGTGAGGCACACCTACAACCCTAGCACTTGGAAGGCTGAGGCAAGAGGATAGAAATTCAAGACCAGCCTGGGCTACATAGTGAGTTCAAGGCCAGCCTGGGCTACATAGTTCAAGGCCAGCCTGGACTAAGCAGTCGGCACCTTTCAGAAGTCTTCTGGCCCAGAGGCCATTGTGGCCTGGGGTTGCTGGTCCCTGAACTCAGAAACCCCATAAGATGGAAGTGGCCCTGTGTCCTTGCTGATCTCGTTCTGTTAAGGCTTGCTCTAACTCAGTACAAAGGCATCCTGACACCCCCACACAGGGCCAGCCTTAGAAGGTGAGCGCACACTCCTGCTGGTCCCCTGGCTGACGGTGTGGGATGGAACATACACCATCAGGATTTTGTTCTTATTTTGAGACAGTGTCTCCCTGCATAGCCCAGGCTGGTCTTGCAAATCTCCTGCCTCAGCTTCCCTGGATTAGCATTACAGAGTTACCTCTGCACCTGGACCTGAGTGTCCCTTCTGAAGGTCATGTCGGGATGAATGTGATATCTTCCTGTGATCTGACCAACCTGGGACCCAGTCGGGCATCACTTTTCCCCAGTCCCCACCCACCTATCACTGCCTTGGTAAACTGTGCCTTGGGTCTAGAGCCCTGCCAGGGACTCCGCTGGAGCTAGTGTTCTCTTATGATTCCTTCTTAGAGGGTGAAGGGCTGTGGGATGCTTCCCTCCACTTGGAGTGGACCTGCCAGGTGCATGGAATTTGGTGGGTGGGCATGGGTTAACCCGAAGCACCCATTTATTGGGAGATGATGCAAGCGTGGGAAAACTGAGGCACAGAGAAGCTGTGAGGAGCTGCTGGTGGCCCAGGAGCAGGGCTCCCTTCTGTTCTCACCACGTCGGCCTTCCTGGACTTGCATCTGCTCTGTGACTGAAGCCTCAGGCCACAGAGTTGCAGTGATGTTTGTGCAGAACCAGGCCCCATGTCACACAGGATGGCTTTACCTCCCCAGGTCGCTGGATCTGACCGGCCCTCTGCTCCTGGGTGGTGTCCCCAACCTGCCAGAAGACTTCCCCGTGCAGAGTCGGCAGTTTGTAGGCTGCATGCGGAACCTGTCTGTCGATGGCAGGAACGTGGACATGGCCGCGTTCATCGCCAATAACGGCACCAGGGCAGGTACGCACAGCTGCCAGGTCTGTGGGACTAGCATGGTGCCCACTGGACATTTGTGATCATACAGGAACAGGGAGGGCTGCATCTGTCTCCCAAGGTTCCCAGCGGTGGGCATCTCTTGGGCGCGGACCTGGAGCTTGGCTTGCTGGGCACACTTCACTTGGTCCGGGCACCCTGCAGTTGGCTGTGTTCCTACTGCTGGGCGGGTGTTAGCTGACCTGAGCTATTTTAGTTAGGTTTCTATTGCTGTGACCAAAATCAACTTGAGGAGAAATGGTTTTATCTCACTTCTCTTGGGTCACAGTTCATCACTGAGAGAGGTCAGAACAGGGAACCTGGAGGCAGGAGCTGAAGCACAGACCTTGGAAGATCACTGCTTACTGGCTTGCTCCTCTGGCCCATGCTCAGCCTGCTTTCTTATATACCACAAGACCACCTGCTTGGGAATGGCACTGGCTGCCCTCCCACATCACTCAATCAAGAAAATATCCCAGAGACATGGCCAGAGGCCAATCCAGTGGCGGCAACTTCTCAATTGAGATTCCCTCTCCCCAAGAGTGTCAAGTAGACAACTAAAGCTATCCAGAGCGTGGGCACTCAGCCCTAGGGTCTTGATCATGTCACCTGGTGGTCAGGCTAGACCTTGGGATGGCATGGAGACCCTGAGCCTCAGATATGGCCTAAGATATGAGCATTCCACCCATACCAGTCTGGAGTGCTCATGATTGCCGGCAGGTTCCAGGCTGATTGTCTCTGGCTGCTTCTGCTCCTCTTTGGGTCAGCACAGGGAACTAACTGGGAAGTGCCCCAAGGGAGGCTTCCTCATGGTTCTTAAACCGAGGCCAGACTACACCCTCTGCCCTGCAGGCTGTGCCGCTCAGAAGAACTTCTGCGATGGGACCTCATGCCAGAATGGGGGCACCTGTGTGAACAGGTGGAACACGTACCTGTGTGAATGTCCACTCCGGTTTGGTGGGAAGGACTGTGAACAAGGTGAGAGTCTGTCCCTTCTTCCCAATCACTGTGGCCCATGGGGGACGGGACACAGGGTGCAAGCGGGCTGAGAGTTGCCAGCTCAGAAGCCCAAGGACTGCGACCAGTTCTACAGGATTGGAGACCTTGAGGGTCGAAAGAGCAAGGTGACTGTGGGGACACAGGGGAGGCCCCATAGAGCTCCCAGGTGGCTCGCCTGATGGCTGCTGCTGATTGGTCCTTGTCGTGAACATAAATAAGGACCTCCCAGCCCATCTCTGCAGTTAGAGATGCTACATGGTTGAGTGGAATCTTAGCTGCTTTTCTGTCCCTGTGATAAAGTGCCCAGACAAAAGCAACTTAGGGGAGAAAGGAGTTTATTTAGCTCACAACTCCAGGTTCCAGTCACAGCAGCAGGAGCCCGAGGGGGCTGCTCACCACATCCACAGCCAAGAGCCAAGGGCAGTGCTTGCTGGTGCTCGGCTTGCTGTGTACAGTCCATATAATCCAAGGTCCCCTCCCTAGGGGGTGGTGCCACTCACAGTGAGCAGGTCTTCCCATAATCAAGGTAATCCCCTACAGGCCAACCTAATCTAGACAATCTCACTTTGAGATTCCCTTCCCTGGTGATTCTAAGTTGTGTCACTTTGACAATTAAAACCATCCATCATAAGCAGTTAGTTTATTTAAAATTTTTTTTATTTTTATTTGATGCATAGAAGTGTATTGCCTCTCTGTAGGTGGGTGCACCCACTGTGCAGTACCCATGGAGGTCAGAAGAGGGCGTTGGAGCCTCTAGAACTGGAGTTATGGATGGTTGTTAGCAGCCATGTAGGTGCTAAGAATCAAACCTGGGTCCTCTGCAAGAGCAGCCAGTGCTCTTAACTGCTGAACCATCTCTCCAGCCTCAGTTTGTTCATTTTAAAGCATGCAGTCCTAAGTAGACATCCTCATTTAAAAAAAAAATTATTTATTTTTATTTTATGTGTATGCATGCTATTGCCTGTATGTAAGTGTGTGCAATCCTGCAGAGGCCGGATCGTCTGGTGTTGGATCCCCTGGAACTGGATTTATGGATGGTTGTTAGCTGCCATGTAGGTGCTGGGAACTGAACCTGGGTCCTCTGTAAGAACAGCCAGTGCTTTTAACTGTTGAGCCGTCTCTTCAGCCCCTAGACATCCTCACTTTTAAAATCACTGACAGTCTTAAATTTGAAGATATACCAGAAGACGTGGGGTCGGGTCCCACACTAGCTAACCCCCCAGTCTACTGGGTCCACTCTCTCCTGGCCTGCACTGCACCCCAGTTTATGAGCAGCCTCAGCATGAGACTGTGGAAGTCGAGTGTTCTTTACCTCACCTGTGTGACCCTGTGGGGCCATGTAATCCTGTCAGCTTTGGGGAGACCAGTGGGGTCTAGGGCCGGAGGAGGCTTCTTAAGCCTCTCCATGAAGCAGAAACAAACAGGAAACACATGAAGCCTGGGTAGGTAAGAGGCAGTGCAGCGAGCAGACAGGCTTTCTTCTGTACCGCACACGCTATGACAGAGAAACCAGGGCCAGCCTTATCTGCAGTTTAGGTGGGGTCTGGCCCAGTTCTGTTGTATCAAATGTTCTGAAAGCTTATACTGCAGGGTGGCAGAGGCTAGCCTAATCACAGAGTGGCCATTTGGTGGCCTGTGTCCAGACTCTGGCTGTGCCAGGGAGTATAGCTGCCCGTTTGGGGTTCCTATGAACAGGAAACCGATGCAGGTGCTCAAGAGTGTGAGCTACCCTGGCTGACATGACCATGCCGCTCTGGTCTTTAAGGTGTAGTAGTGACTGCTGGTCCCATGCTGGGCATCTGCAGATCCCAGTGCTGGGTTCTGAGGGCAGAGCTGGGCACAGATACAAGTCTAAGACTGGCCTTTAGGTTAAACTAAAAAGGCTCAGAACCCTCCTCCAGCTGGCCTGGTCCCCTCCACGGCAGCTGAAAAGATGCTTCACCCCACCTGATTTCGGATAGCACCTGAGGTCTCCGGTCTGTGTCTACAGTTATGCCACACCCCCAGCGCTTCAGTGGCGAAAGCGTCGTGTCCTGGAGCGACTTAGACATCACCATCTCCGTGCCTTGGTACCTGGGGCTCATGTTCCGGACACGGAAGGAGGACGGGGTGCTGATGGAGGCCACAGCTGGTGTATCTTCTAGGCTTCATCTCCAGGTGAGTGTGACCCCGAGCCACCCAGACACCTGCAGGGTGGGGACCATCCCAGATGCCTCTGAAGAGCATCTGCTACTCACCCGTTTCCTCCGGTGCCTACCTTGTGGCTGCCTGGTGGGAACGCAGAGGAGAATGGGGAACAGCTTAAGCAACATCCCAACTGTGCTGTTCAGGACGGGGGAAGTGCAGGGATCGTGTGTGGCCATGGGCTGCCGCCGGGTTCCTTTCCAGTGCCCGCGTCCCTTCATTGCTGCCAGGGCATAGAGTGGGCACCTCTGGGGCTAGCACTGCCACCGTGTAACTTAGCCCTTCCATGCACTACACAGCAGCTCTCCCCCACCTGGGGCTTGGCCCCTCCTCTGACTAGGGCTGAGGTGGAGGACTGACTGCAGCAGGTGGAGGGAGTGGGCCTCTATCCATTCAGGCTCGGGTCAGCCCGTGTCGACCCTACATGCTGCTCTGCACTGTGTGTGTTGTGGGGGGTCTCCGCCCGGAGGCTCTTCATCTTGAGGCCCCATTGCGGCAACTGCTTGTGTGTCTTCTTGATTTTTCCATCTTTATTAGTTGGCTCCTTTGAAACCTTGAGTCAGCGTACTGAACACTTTTAGGATGATCTTAATGCATTCTGTCCTCACAGATAGTTTCCCCTCGGTCATGGGAGCCAGAGGAGCAGTGTGCGCCTTTGTGCGGAACACTCAGGACACCCTTGTTGAGCTATGCTTGTCTCTCCACCTCTTTCCTGGCGGTGTGGTAGAGGAAGCCTTCACCCTTTTCTTGCCCAGGGGTTTTGAGGCATTCAGCAGGAGTCCACAGTCTGGGAATCAGTGCTTGTCCAGGAGCTCCATGTAGCACCGGGTCCCACCAAGCCCCAGGCCTACAGCTCATCCTCTGCCCTCACACCTCTGGCAGTTTCTGTCTATACCAACAGGACAGATGCTCATTGTAGACGGTGACCCATGATCCCTGGTCAGGGCCAGGCTCCCAAACCCCCGTGATCCTCCTTCCTTGGTTGTCCTCAGACCTAACTGCTGCTCGTCACGTGCAGCAGCCCCAGGGACTCAGTGGTCACCTAGGACAAGCCGGGGCTCTGTCTCGATTTGGAGGAATCAGTAAGTGGGTGTTTCTTTCTTCCTGGCTTTTCCCCTGTATGTATATGTGAGCACATGTGTTGTGTGTCTGTGTCTCTCTGTGTACCTCTGTATGTATGTGTGAGCATGCGTGTGTGTGTACATCTATGTGTGTGTCTGTGTCTATGCATATGTATGCATGTCTGGGCATGTCTTTATGCATGTGGCTTTCTGTGTGCATGTTCATGCTTATGTGAGCATATGTGCATGTTTGTGAGTGTACATGAGTGTGTACATGAGTGTGAGAGTGTGTGTGTGTGTATGCATGAGTACATGCATGCCTCTGTGTGTCTGTGCCTGTGAGTGTGTGAAATAGGCCCTGGACACCCACGGACTTCGCTCCTATAGGTCCCACTGTCCTCACCCAGAGTGAACCCCAGGCCGCGCCCCCTCTCTCCCCACAGCACAGTCTGTTCTGTAACCACCTCCTCTCTCCCTGAGGAGCCTGGCCACCCCAGACACGTGGGACTCATGGCCCTGTTGTCCCAAGATAACAGCTTAGGGTAGTAGCTCCAGTCAGGAACCTCCCCCAGGACTGGTGCTCATCCTCCGCCATCCCCGTGTCCTCATAGAGCGGCTTGTTTCTCCCATTTCCTGGGTCCTGGAATCCTTGGTCCTCTTCATTCCCACTCAAGAGTTCAGAACAGGATTGGAGATGGTCAGAGGAGAGATGGATTCTAAGAGGTGTTTGCACCCAGCTCCCATTCTACAGAGGGAAACTGAGGCTAGAGGCTATGCAATCTAGGCCCTGTGGTTCACTTGTTACCCAGTTCCTGGGTCAGCCAGAGAGCCCCCTGCATCTCTCCCATCTGTTCAGGCTTCCTTAGAGCTGGGCTCAGCTCAGAGAGTGGGAGGAACGGGGGTTGCCTGGGGCCCTCCCCTCTCCCAGCTCCCTGTCAGAGGTCATTGGGCAGGGGCCCTTTGATAGATCAGTTAACTGGCAGGAGCTGGGTAAAGCCGAAGCCGGGAGCCCAGGCAGGGAAGCCTGCCTCTGCCTGCCCTTTGCCTGCCCTGCTCAGCAGGGTCACGGCTCTGTGGTGGTTTCCAGTGCGCCTACTCAGAGGCTGGGGATGCGGCGAGTACGTCATGAGTAATTGCACCTGTCAATGTGCTTTTCTCATTAGTGGTAATTTCACAAGTGTACAGGCTGCCCCAGAAGCCCACGGTGGCTGAACTTCGAAGCACCGTTCTGCCCGGGGACAGCATTTCTCTGTGGGTGTTTCTCTGTTGGAACACATTAAATTGGCTGTTTCGATTTGGGTGATGAATTGGAGCTCACAGGTTGTCATTTGGTAGTGGTAGTCTGTAGGAGAAAAGGCCATGCTCAGCAGGAGCTGCTCGGAAAACCTCAGGCCGGGCACTGACTGAGTACTTACCTGTGGCAGCACATCCACAAATTCTGGGCCACCAGGAACCACAGCCAGGAAGTCTGGGTGGCATGAAGGGCAGCCTTGAGGGGTCTTGTAGATTCTGGTGGGCACCCAGGAAGCCACCAAGACGGTTCCGAGGCTGGTCTGTCAGGCATCTCAGCAGTGTTCGGGGTGACATGTTTAGTTTTTGGCATCCTGCAGGCCTTTGAGCGTTCTTGAGGCTCTCCCACCCCCCGTGGCATGACAAAGCCACACAATTTATATAATTGCTCCCAGGCACCCTGGAGCCTGCTGCACAGTCAAGTGCGATAGCCCCGCTGTTGTTGATGCCTGTGTGAAATCGGGTGCCAGGCCCAGGTGGGAGGCTGCTTCTGCCCGTCTTGGGGTTTAATCGCTGTTCCCCTTTGGTTCGCAGACACATGTGTTTTGTTTCTTTCATTTTCATTGTTGATCTATTGCTTCTGGGTTTTATGGTAAGGCCGGAGAGGGAGCACGGCACAGGACACCTCTATAGAGCCAAAGGGAGCAAAGGTATAAGATGAAATCACTTCAGACACACTGTCGGTGAAGACCAGTCAGAATGCTGCCGTTGTTAAAGTATCTCCATAGTCAGCTCCAAAGTGCGTTCTGATTCCCAACATGGCTTCATCCGAGGCCTGTGGAGTGTGAGGCAGTGTTTACTAAAACCTTTGCTATTGTTTCTAGCATGGTTGGCGGCTACACAGCTTGGGCCAAGTGAGTTCAGCCCTTGGAGCTATGTTGAGACTTTCTTCACAGCTCAGATCTAGTCAGCTTCAAAAGTGTTCCATGCGCACTTAAAGAATATGTGTGCTGCAGTCGTTATGCACGATTGCCACATGTGTCAGGAAGTTTATGTTAACTGTGGTGTTTAAACATACTGTGTCAGGGGCTGGCAGTGAGCTCAGTCAATAGAGTGCTTGCCCAGCATGCTGGAAGCCCTGAGTTTGATCTCTAAACACAAACCAGGCGTGGTGGCACACACCTGTAATCCCGGCACTTGGGATGTGGAGGCAGGAGGATTAGAATTCAAGGTCATCCTCTGCTACATAGGAAATTGGAGGCCAGTCTGAGCTAGAGGAGACCCTGTCTCAAACAAAAACCCAAAATTAAATATGCTATGTCATTTTCTTTTTCTGTCTGTTTTCTAAGTTACTGGGAGATTTAAGTGAAATGTCTCCACTCTGATGTCAATTTGTCTGTTGTGGAAATCTGTCCATTTTTGCTTTTTGGACTTTGATGCTGTTGTAGACATGTTCACATTTAGAATTGTCTTCTCTTCAAACTGGCTCTGTTATCTTGAGAGTCCTCTTTCTCTCTAGTAACAGCATTTACCGTAAAGTGCTCTGTCTTGTTAATGCAGTGGCCTGGGCCTTTCTGCCCTAGTCCTCTGCAGGAGCAGCCGGTGCTCTTAACCGCTGAGCCATCGCTCTAGTCCCTAATTTATCTTACTTATTGGGGGTGTGCTGGATGGCTTTGGTGTCAACTTGACACCTGGGTTTGGGGAGCCTCAATGGGGAATTTCCTCTATTGGACTGGCCTGTGGCCATGTCTGTGAGGCATCTTCTTGATTGTTGTATGATGTGGGAGGGCCCAGCCCACTGTGGGTGGTGCCACCCCTGGGCAGGTGGGCCTGTGTTGAATAAGAAAGCACGCTGACCAGGGGCCAGGGGAGCAAGCCAGTAAGCAG